ATGATTCAGAACGACACATCAGGAACCTTACAAAAACACAGCCTCCGGCTGCACAAACATGTGGGCTGATTGAGGAAATCCAGTAAACTATCAATATCATCTACATCATTTAACTTGAATCAAAGAGCTAATAAAGAAGGGTGCTGTACTTCAACTTGTTAATATTCTCTTTATTGTTTAAAAACATCTCTGATTTCTTTACCTCCAAATAGTCCATCAGAGAAACTATCCTACTTGCAAACAAGGCAGAAGTTAGAGAGGCCAAGACAAAGCCATCTCCATGATTGAAAAGAGAAGGTTGAGTTTACACCAAAAGCCTTCTCATAGGAGATAGGAGAAACTGTTAGAACGCCTTACAGTGGGTCCGGAGTTATATCTAGTCCAAATTGAGTGATTTGTTTTAGGAGTAGTCAAATAAAAAAATTCACAATTTTAGGGAAGGATTGCTGCCCTAGATGGATAAAGAGTTGATGTCTTGGTCTAAGCGGTTTCCTATGTAATATTACAGTACACCCAACACCGCCCTTGGAGGGTGGACTCTTCCTACACAGCTGGACGTCCGATTCTAAACAAAGATGTCGGGGTTCATCACCACATCCGTTCCTGATAGGTCTCATAGGCAAGGTGGGGTAGAAAATCTTCTTGGGTGGTTGCCCGTCTCAGCACACCTAATAGTTGATATTTATATTACTTCCACTCACTTAATAGTTGATATCCTACTTACCTTACCTAATAAAAAACAAATAGTCAACAACTTGATATCATATTATTTCCACTCCAGACTTCTATAACGTGATCTTTTGCATATTTCTTTTGCAGCCTCTCATAACAAAATAAAGGTTACTGATCTTACAATCCTAGGATGGTGGCGTAGTGCTGAATGAAAATGGCTTACCAATGTTTCAAGGCAGGCCAATACTACACCAACATTGTTTCATTAGATTGCTAAAAGGATACATCATCTACCTTTTACAACCATCAGGTACCTCTGACAAAGGAGATATGGCTACTAATAATTCATAAAGGACTTAGTGCCCGTTTGGATTGACTTATTTTAGGTGCTTTTAAGCCAAAATAGCTTTTAAGCAGTTTTGAAGTGTTTGGGTAAAGTTAAAAGGTGCTTATAAGCACTTATTTTAAAGACAAAATAACAAAAATAAGGCAAAAGCCATGAGTTAGAAATCCTAACTTATGGCTTTTGGCTTATAAGTCATAAGCCAAAAGCCAATCCAAACAGGCCCTTATTTATAAGCCAAAGCATTTTGCAAATGTTAAAACAAAAGCACATTTCTTATCAGATGATATAAGAAGAAAAGGTAACTAACATCCAGTAAAGACCCTGATAGCAGGACTAGGAGCTCTTCTCACAAGATACTGGCAACAAATTTAACAAAAAACTGAGAATGCATTTTCAAACAAAGTGGGGTAAGGTAACTAAATAGCTATTTACATCTAGCCCGGATTTTTTTAATGTGTCTAGGGAAATCCACATGACCCCCTAATCTGTTGAAAGAAGACATCAGAAACTTATGAAGCCAACTGCATGCTCCAAATAATAGCATGAGGCTACAACTACCTGATACACTTAGTCAAGGCTGAGAAAGAGATACTCAAGAAACAGCATCAGAGGTAAAATAAAGAAGGTGCTCGTTCCTTAAACATCTACTGTCATATGAATATTACACCACCAACTCTGCCTCATATTGTATTTGCCTTTTAGTTTATATTTTGGCAAAGAGATTTTACTATCTGTAGCTCCATTACTACTTGCTTCACCTTAACAAGTGACATAAAAATGTGGTAGCAGATATATCAGTACTTACAATAATGTGAGGCCGTTTCCCGAGGGCAATGCTCTGTTGTACTTGATCTATCCCTCCAACCAGCTGCAAAACAATTACCAGCGATCATTTAATCAAAAATATGTCTAGCTGAATGCCAATGTCAACCATCATATACCACACTGTTTCAATCGTGACACACTTTATCCTTTCCTACAGACATGCCACTACAAATCCCATTAGCTAGAAAGAGGTTATCAGCCTATGGGTTACATTTGAAGGGGAAATGAATTGTTCATGTATGTGCATATGACTTAGTCAAGCTCACCACTGCACATTTTACTCCAATACCGGATCCTAAAGCTTCAAACTGTTCAGCAATTTGAATGGCGAGCTCTCTGGAATATGCAAAGAAAAAAGTTGGGATTTCAATCATTAAAGAGCTTCTACAAAATAAAACAAGTAATCAGAAGAATAAGAGACCTTGTTGGAGAGAGAACGCAGGCAAAAAAGGCATGCGGAGAATCTAATAATGATTGCAGTATAGGAATTGCAAAAGCTCCAGTCTTTCCAGACCCCGTTTGTGCCAGACCAATTAGGTCTTTGCCTGGAACAAAAACCAATCAAATTGTTTATAACAAAAATAAGATTTCACCAAATAGAGGTTGATATACAAAAGGTTAATTAAAACAAAGAGGATCTCTATGAATAATGTACTCTACACAGCAAAAGGATTCCCCCACCCCCCAAAAAAAATAAAAGAAAAAAAATCACTACAGGATTCAGGCTACGTGGAATCACAACTCAATCACTCTCCTGTTGCTAGTTATTAGTACAACCCACATAACTTGATTGACGGAGTTTTGCACGGTCCATTAAATTTTCCTCAAATGCAACATTATATTCCATAACTTGGTTGTAAATTTGCATTTTAAAGACATGGTTTCTGAAAGGCTAGCATTCATAAAAGTATTTTACAGGAAAATTCACGTGACCCTTCCCCTTGCTATTCCAATTTTTCTTCGTAAAAGAATATATCGTTCCAAAATCTTCAATTCCCTTAAATTGAATCACTTCAAATACCACCTCTTTAGGCAATAACATAAAGCTGTTTTTATCTGGATTTAAGTTCACCCTACCTACACCACCATTATATCCATTAACTAATTATTTTCCCCTAGACGTAGGAAATTAAATCAGAACACCCCCAAACCCCTGGAAGACTGAAAAATTCACCACTAAACCCAGCACTTAATTACCTCTCTCAACAAATTTGTTCGACAATGAAATGTTGCTTTTCTATTATTCGTAAAGCTAGTCTTATTTTATTTTGCAACCAAGGGCAAAACTAAATAGAATAGTGGAAGTTTTGCAACCCCACAACCCAAAATCAGACATAAAACCCACTAGGATAATCAGCTTAAAAATTTAAACCTATTTGAATTATTATCAGAAAGCTAAATCCTCTAGAACATGCAGCAACAAAAAGATGAATAAACATAAAGAAGGGAATATTGAAAAACCTTCAAAGGCATGAGGCATAGCTTCAGCTTGTATCTTAGAAGGGTTTTTCCAACCCAAATTATCACAAGCCTCAATCAATTGATCACAAACTCCTAATTCTTTGAAAGACTTCGTTTCTCCTTTGGATTCATCCATTTAGCCGCGGATCCAAGACTTCTCCACAGAGGGTTCTATTATGACAGTAACTTCAAATCAACAAGCAATAATCAACCCGTTTGGATTAGCTGTATTCAAGTAACTTTTAAGCATCAATTGTTGAAAAGCACAATTCAAGTGTTGGAGCTGATTTTATAAATAAGCAATCACGAATTCAGATAGAAACTAAAAAAAAGTTGTTAACACTATAAGAGAATTGATTACTACAAAAATTTTAAGTCTAAATTTATTCAAATACAAAATAATTATAAGTTACTATCAACAAAATATAAATTGTTATGCAAGGAAATGATGTTTATTGAACTCATGGCTTTTAATTCCTAAATTTACACAAAGAAAAACTCCATACTCCCAAAGTCAAAGGTTCTCCAAAGCTTCTTACATCTCATTGTACCAAATATTATACTGTAGCATGTGCTTTCTAAGGCAAGAGGAGAAAGTTTTCCATTGATATTTTATTTTCACTTTTCTCCTTTGGGATGCTTAGCATTGTCCTAATTACATCTACATATGCAATCAAGTTTGAGTTGTATGTGTGAATAGTAATCCATATATCCTTAGGGATCATTTGTTAGCTGGTTAGAATTATGTTGGGAATTTATGTATTATTAGTTATGCAGGATTTAGTTATTCCATCATACATGCACAAAATAATACATAGATTCACTCATAACTTATACATATACATGTATTAATTATGCATATCAAACATCCTACTAATTTTATACCTGAATAAACTTACCAGCTAACCAGCTACAAAACGTGGTAGTACTACTTAAGCAGGATTTAATACTTGCATAACTCATCTCCAAACCAGCTACTAAACGACTCCTAATTTGTTGCATGATTCAATTCGCGAGTAAAACTTTTTCTTTATAGTTTTACTCGTTTTTTCTCTTCAGCTTAACAATTCACTCAATAACAACAACATACTGAACGATTCAATCATCACTAACATTGAAATACACTCGTTTTTTTGGGAGATTTATAGCAGAAACAAAATCAAGTACAAAAAACAGAGGAAAAACGCAGAGAAGCTGAAAAACGTAACTAAAATCGCATGGAAAAAAATGCAGAGAGAGAAAAACTTACCGAGAATCGCAGAGAACAAACGCAGAAAAGATATGCAGGGAGAAGTGAAGAAACGCCGGAGGAGAAAGAAGAAAAAGAAGAGAAAACAAGTTTTTGTAGTGTAGGGCTTTTGTAATGGAGGGTAATATTGGAACTACAAAAATATATTAGGGATATGAATGGTTTTTTAACCTTTTATAAATTTGTTTTTAATTTTACGTCTAAGAATATATATATATATATATATATATGTATATATTATTTTATTATTACCCTTATGTAGAAGTGAGACTTAAAAAGGACCAACACTGCATTATTTTATTGTACCAAAGGCAGTAGTAACTGTACATCTTACAAAGGACCAACACTGCATTTTTGGATTGTACTAATGGTAGTACTAATTGTACATCAATAAATAAACACACTTTTTCTACAACTTTCGTCGTATAATCAGACAAATTGGTAACCCTAATTTCTCGCCTGCTTCCTACACTAGCACTGTTCTCTCAACTCTTCCTTCTACTTGTGATCTCTTCAATGGCGAATACGTCTGCTCCTTAGTATTTCCTCTTCCTCTACACACTTGCAATCTCTCGCTGAAGCCACAATTTCAATCTCTCTCTCAGGCTTTGCTGAAGATCTGTGTTTCTTTCCGATCAGCTGCGCAGGTACTTCTTCATGCTTTAACTTTCTCGCCTCCTTCGTAAAGTCTCTCAACTGTTCCTTCTACTTCTCACCTCTTCAATGGTCAATCCATCTGCTGCTTGTTGTTTTCTGTTTGTCTACAGGGTTCAAATCGGACTATCAAGCTTTCCTCAACATTTCTGCTTGTTTCGGACGACCTACGCAGGTATTTCTTCATCCTTTACGCCAAATTTACATGTTTGCAGTGCCAGCTCTAACAGAAAGCCTAACGTATAGTATAATCGCCCCCAAAATTCCACTGATTTTAGGCTTCAATATCAAAGCAGGGCCCGCTTGATTGGATGACCACCGCTCTCCCGATCTACTGCTGAACGTCACCGCCCTTCTCCCGATCTACAGCTGAAGGTTCCCTCTTATTTTCATTTTCCTTGATGATTTACAATATGCTTCACTTCAATTGGTGAAGCTTCATTTTCTCATGGTGGTTAGTTTCAAAGATAATCTTTTCCTCTGGAAAATACTTTCCGCTTTAATTTAAATCTTTTATTTACCAGATCAATTTCTGCTGTTGGATTGGGTATTAAAGTAGCTCACTTTTTACTTTCTTAATAGTTGCAAATACATGTTAGGTTGAATGCCGAGTACTGTGAATCATTAAAATAAAGTTGTTAGTCATCACACTTGAGTATGAATGTAGGTTGAATTCCACTAATGTGTTAATTTCTTAGATTTTTCTTTAATGTCTTTGTTTAGTTTCATTTACTTTTGAGCTACAGAATTTTTATCAATATATCATAGTAATCGATCTCATTTGCACTGTGACTAGAGCCCTTAATGCATGTACCACTATTTATTGTAGATTTATTTGAATTATATTCTTCAGTGTGAAATTTGTAACCATTTACAACATATCCATTAAAGGGTTGAACCTTATGCAATGGCCCTTCTGCAAGATCATTCATGAATTGATTGGTAATGCCGGATGTAGGACCACGTGCCTATTGACACTATAGGTAATTAGACATACATTAAGATTATATTAATTCACTATAGAGATTAATCTAGATCTATTAGTACTTACGTATTGATTAAATCAAGACGCAAACTATGTTTCAAGTTTAGCATCAATATCACTATCTTGAATACATTGTTGTATTTGTCTCAAGGTATCCTCACGTACATTTTTTTTCTTTTTTCATTTTTAAAAAATGACTACTTAAGAAAATGTTTTTTTATAGGCAGAAGTCATCGACTATTTTTATTTTTTAAGACCAAGCTTGGAGATCTTAATATTGCAAATTTGCAATTGCATTTAATGCTCAAGTAAACTATCATTCCACTTGAAAAAAATAGGTTAATAAATTTGAAACTATCTTTCCCCTTTCCCCTGATTTTTCTCAACTGATTCTGCCAGAAAGGTAAATTTTTTGGGAAAACCATTTGATGAGTAAATCGTCGTAATATAGAAGTAAAAATTTTGGTGTAGCATGTTGAAATTTGGACATATATTGTGCTTAGTTGATGGTGAGGATATCAACTCTCTATAGTTTTCAACTTTATGTTTACGTTCTTCATTTATTTACTTGACTGGTTGGTACAAAAACAGGTTCTGAAGCTAAAATCTTTCTCCAAGTTTGAGGTTGAGAACACCTCAGAAGCTCTGTCAGAAGCTATGTTGTTGATAAATAGCAAGCCCAACAAAGGACTGCGCAAGTTCTTGAAAGCACACTGGGATGGGGAAACTTTGGTAGTTGCTGATTCAAAGCTTGGAAATGCAATTAAAGAGAAATTGGTCAGCTCCCTTCTTATGTCAATTCAACAATTGTATCTAATTTGTTCATGCATGTTCGCAAATAGAAATAAATAGGTAGTAGATGACTTTGGATCCTTGATGCACATAGTGCATCTAAAACTTTTGTTTTTCAATAGTCTTGATTTTGGTGCTTCTACCTATTTTGGGGTTAAAAGGCGAAGAAGAGGAAATAGTTGAACTTGGGGACAAACATTCGAGTCCAACTACCCACATAGAATTTAGCAGACCTTTTTACACATTGACTAACTTATTCCCTTTATATTTAGCTCTTATGCTGCACTTCCCTTTCGAATTTTCATTTTATTTTCCTAATTTAGTTCTCCAATTTTCAGCTATTACTTTCTTCATTTCATTCTGCTTTAGAATTCATTGCTTTCTATTCTCCTCTTTCACTTTATTTTCTCCTAACTACATTGTATTTTTATTTGCTTTCCTGTGCAACTGGACCTTCGTTTGACAATGAATCCTGTATAAATTGAAAGCTCAAATCCTCAAATTATGAAAGATCGGATATTTCAAGACGTTGTTATTCTCTCCATTAAAATTGAACTACACTTCTGGTACATATGGTTTGTAATCTCTCCACTAAAATTGGACTACGACTTTTGATACATATAGTTTGTATAAATAACTTTTAGTGGTTCCGCACTATACCCATCCAACGTGTTTGATCATACACGTGGAAATCCCTAACAAAAATTTGTTGTCTTTCTTTTTCAGCAGGTTTTTCAAAATATTTTGCTCCATCAGTCAACAACTCAAAATGTATGTTGTCATCAGGCAACCTCAGTTCTATCGTTTATATTTGTGTTAAAAATATATATTTCAAATGTATGCCTTAAACTCAAGCCTAAAGAAGAATATGTATAAACAAATTTTTCAAAAGCAACTGCTAATTGACTGAAAATTGAAATTGATGCTTCACTTTTGATCTTTCCTCATTTAACTTCTAATTTTAGCAAACACTTTATTTCTCTAAAGAAAATACAATTGAGGATTATACATTTACGCCTTTACGTCTTCAAAGAAAAATTTGATCTATGCACTTTTTTGTTTTGATCAAACAGCAGTGCCTATCATAACAACTATGGTACATGATAGGCATATATATTTTCAAAGTAGTGGTACATGTAAAATAGAATCTAATTTGTCTACTCTTGCAGGGAGCATTACAATGTGGATTTGCAGAGCATAGCTGTGAATGGAAAACTTTTGCATATAGATCCAGCAATATTTGCAACCTCAGAAGATCGAGGAACTATTTTTGATTTTGGAACCACTCTGACTTATCTTGTCGCAGAGGCCTACGACTCTGTTATTAGTGCGGTAAGTATTCTTCATCACATTTTATTCATTCTAAAATAAATATATTTCCATGCTATGATGCACTACTAAGAAAATGCAAATTAGTTTTCTAAGAAATATTTTTGAAAACAAAATTTGATGAAGAAAATATACGTAGGTAGTCATAATTACCTGGAAAATTAAATTCCCTCAGGTAAACTACACCGAAATTACCTGCGAATATTTCTTCAGGGAAAATGAAATATTCGCAAGAAACTTTTGATAGAAATTCGTGAAAAAAGAGACTTTTCTTGAGGATTTTTGCTATAGAAATAGGTCAAGAATTCCTATCGTAAATTTCCAATAAATTTGTAAGAATGCTAAGGCTTGATTAGAAGTTAAGTAGGATGGTATTTGAAAATAGAATTAAAAAACCCATATTTATTTTTTATTTTTTTAAAAAAAAATTATAGGAGCAATAAACTTGATAAACAGTTTAATGTAGCAAATATAAAGATGAAGTGAAAATAGAAATAGAAATCTGGGCTTTTGGCCCAAATTTGAACACTGCAGGGCCCAGGCAGCTGCCGAAACAGAGCACATAGAGACTTAATTAGTGTTTGCTTCAAACTAATGACAGTAAACAAATTAAGGTGGGGGATTGCTGCACAATAAACAAATTAAGGTGGGAAAGATGGATTTGAAACAGAGCACATAGAGACTCAATTAGTGTTTGCTTCTAACCACGTGTACTTCTTTTTCTTTGCAAGAGAACACGTGTACTGAAGTAGTACTGCACATTGCTCGAGTTCGGAATCTAAATAAGCCACAAAAAGATAAAAGTGACCAAAATAAGCCATTACTTTAATAAGTAACTAAAATAGGCTTAGTAGAAGAAAAAAATCCACTTTAGCCAATACTCCAAACGTTTTCCGTTAGTCTCATAACGTGTATATTTTATTACTTTACTCTTATTTAAAAGTGGGAGTAGGGAAGGACGAACAAGGGCAAATAGGTAATTCTAATGTTAACTTTGTTGTACAAATTTACAAAGAGTAATTTAATTTGTACTATATAAGTGGGTCCAATTATTATTACTTCAGTCTTTACGATTTCCAAAGCAAACCACGTGTACCCTATTCTCTTCATCTTCTTTCCAATGACCAAAAATTTTGTACAAATTTACAAAGACTAATTTAACTTGTACTGTATAAGTGGGTCCATATTATTATTACTTCAGTCTTTACGATTTCCAAAGCAAACCACGTGTACCCCTATTCTCTTCGTCTTCTTTCCAATGACCAAAAAATTGGTTTCATTGCACTGCTCCATTTTAGGTTTTCCAAATTTCTCCTCTGCTTCTCTCATTTCTTGGTCTTCTCATGTTTTTTCTCTCTTTTCAATTTTCTTGTGTGCTTGTGGTGGAGCTGTTTAAGGGCGTAGAAAATATCAGCACTAGCTTTCTCTACTCTTCTGTATTTGATATGTCATCAGTTGAAAGAGACAGTTCATATATTTTTACAGAACACAATCAAGTAGACCATACATTGTATTATTTGCATTGCAGCTTTAAACTTATTCTTCTTCCTAATTTTGACAAGACAGACATATAGATATCCTAAACCACAGACTTTCTCTTCCACTATAGGTCAGCCGTTTTCTATTTGGACGAAAGATCAATGTGCTTGCTCAATTTCTTACCATGAAGATAATAAGAATGTATAGGAACATCACCAAAGTGCTAGAACAATCAGATTGTACACACTCCTTCAATCAGCTGGCACCTCATCACTAATGTAAATGCTGAGGTACCAATAATGCACCAGGTATCAGAATTTACTAACAGCTTTTCGCTGAAAAAAGCAATTTCCAATTGTACCTCGCACATTATTAATGCCTGCTAACTGATTTTGTGTTTTCGCTCACCTCCACTAAAGACCCCTAACAAATTTACTCATAACTCTACTTCTGCTATGACAACACTGTTGTTTTTCCTTTCATTTGTTCTTCATTTTTTGGCTGTTTGGAACATACAAACTTTATTATCTTTCTACACTTTATATCTCATGCAACCCAATACTAAGCGGTACAACTCTAAAGTAGTATACTTTGTTTGCTCATTTTGCCTGTAGCTGCTTCAATTGTATCCCATTTTATGAGTTTGTACTGTCTGTTCTGTCTTTGTCCTAACTTGCTCTTACCAGAGTTTGTTAATGCTTTGTTTCTACAACAACAACTCATTTATGCAGCTATAAAGTGCAGTTCTACGCAGTTTACTGCTTTCCTTTGATTAATTTTCCCCTTCTGTGTAAAGAACTGAAACATTGTTGCATGCCCCTCATTTTATCAGCCTCCTTCATAAAAAATGAACTAACCAAGTACTTTGAATTAACATTCATGTTATCCTACAGATACTACTATTTGGTTAACTATATTTCCTACAAACATGGTACTACGACTTAACATTGACCAAATAGAACTAGCGACACGCGATTGGATTTGCAAAGTTCAAATTGTCGAAATAGGCCGCCCAGAGAAAGCCTTGACAAAATGTACATTCCAAAATTTGATTTGGAAGATGAAGAGGTCAGATCATTATTTATATTTGTTGTTATCACTATTGTCTTTTTGTCTCAACGTACTTAATCTCAACTTTCTATAACTCTACTTTCAGGAATGCCAAATTAAGGCTGTTATGTACACTGGTGAGATTGAGCAGTATGCAGATAAGCTTAAACTCCTCCATACCTACCTCATCTCTACTGCAAAAGTTAAAGTCTCTCCCACTTCATACGGCAAGCCAATACATAAACTTTACTGGATTCTTGACAAAGAAACAGTAATTGAACAAATCAAACCATCTCATGCAGTTGAAAAACCCCTCCCGCTGCCAACAAAGCTCAATATCACAACCTTTGACCGTATTCCTCATCTAATGGTTGATTCTACTGCTGAAATAGGTATATCCATTGTTCTACCTATTATCAGCCCGAAATATACATCTGCCCTGCTGCACAAGACTTGCAACAATTCATTATGTGTTATATGCGCAGATATACTGGCAATCGTTCTTCGTTGTGGTCCTCAAAAAATTGCCGGTCGCAGTCATCATAGGTGTCGAGAAATTACCCTTTGTGACAATCAGTAAGTGTAGCATTTGCCATTCTGTTTTGCCCTTTTCTGCAAATGTTTCAAATCAGTAACCATTTTTGCCCTTACTGTCTTCACATCATCAATTATCCTCTAACCATTATCTTAGTACTTACACGTCTGTCATTATGCTCTCACACTCTCAGGAAAAATCAGTTTCTCTTCACTCTATGGGAGGATTTTGGAGAAATAGAAGGACATCAAATTGCGTCTCAAATGGCAACAGCAGCAGATCTGCTTGTAGTCCTCGGAAGGAGTATAGGAATCTCTACTTATCACGGTACATATACCGTCAACTTCTTACCACCGTTATTTAATCTAATAAGAAAACACTATACAACCTATGTGTTATACAGGGTTGTCACTGCAGACTAGGTACAACTCCACAGTACGTGTGAATCCAAATTACCCACAGGCAGTCACGCTCATGAACTGGTACTAACATTTCATATTTATTCTATAGCTTCAAATTACATCTACATAACCTACTAAACACATTATCTGTTCTAACAATAGGCCAAAGAAAACAAAACTGACGCTCTTAAGTTGTCCATCAGAGAAAACCTCAACTAGCTCATCTATAGTTCCCATGATAGTCAGTACTGGTGCACAACAGCTTCTCTCTATCGCAGAAATCTCATCAGCACCTTCTGTAAGTCATAGTTGAACTTGCTCATTTGAGGCTATCCTTATTCCGTTTCTCATTCTATAGCTTTGCCTACATAATCAAAACTTCCCACAGATGGGAGTCCTCTCTGTTGACGCACAGATGGCCATATTAGATGAATTCCAAGACTTTTGTGTGCTTGAATGCTCAGGATGCAAATAGAAGAAGCGTACAAAGGATAGAAAGGATTTTGATTGTCCAAAATGCAAGCGCACAACAGCCTTATTGCCTCGGTAATATACTTCTCCCCTGTGTATTACCCTTTCTGCAGAGTATACCGTATAGTGTACACATATTTGAAACTTCCCTTCATTTCAGCTGTAGCTTCCAAATTGATCTTCTTGACAATACTGGTACAACCACAACATCTATCTCTGTTGAATTAGGAGAAAAATTGATGTCCATGACAGCAGAAGACATATTTGAAATAACTTGCACTAAGGTTATCTCTCATTCCCCCGGGCTACTTATACCCACTTATTCTCATACTACCACATATCTTTGGCACAAATACTTTACCACATATGCTTTGTTCTAAACTGTTTGGTCTAACTTCTTACATTTACAGCGACAATCATTGTCTCTTAATCATGTCCATGAGATGTTGTCGGACAGATTATTCGAAATTCAGCTAAGGAAGTCATCTTGGGCCAGCTCAAATACCACACATACAACTTTGTCCGTTCTTTCCTACATGGGAAAAAAGCATGCTCCACACACCACCACTGATAGGACTTCTAAAAAGATAAAACCTCTGGAAATAAGTGAGGTAGAAGTCATGGCAACAACTACTGCAGCTGGTTCTTCAAATGCACCGCCAAAGTTTGAACCACCCACACCAGCCAAAAAGGTCTAAAAGGTTAGGCTACACCTCACTTTCACAGCAAACTACACCTCACAATGCTTGCCAATTCTACATATTTACAGTTATTCAAAACTTGCCTGCTACAACCCTCTACTTTTACCTGTACTTTACTTTTTTTTATACACATATGCATATGATTCCTGTAAAACCTTGTAAGTGTGATACTGCTGTTATACCACTGCTTTCACACTTGCTCTTATCTCCTTTCAAATTACACATTTACCTTCTCTTTATGTCTGACATAACATTGCAAGATCTCATATTCATTCACGGCTACAATATTTCTATCCATGCTCAAATCAAATGCTTAACATTTTCTTTGTAATTCATCATCTCCTTTTGACTGTTCAATTAGCTTTCAGCAACTTCATTACTTCACAGCTAACAACAGCTCTGTTGCACAGTGACAGGAATTGTATACTCCTCTAAACTCACATCCAATCAAACTACCTTTCAACACTACAAAACATGGGCCCACTGACAGAAATCCTTATGTCTCATGTGTGTTTGTGATTGGATAAAATTGTAGCCTCCTTTTGCTGATTCGTTAATGTTTATAACTTCACCCTCCAATATAAGCCTACTTACATGGTTTCCTCCATAACTTGCACACATACATTCGTCTACATTTTTCTTATTCTACTTTCATACGATGTCATACACTATAATACAGAGTTATCAACACCAAAAAAGGTGAACAAGGTTTCTGTCTACTGCCTAACCTCAGACAGATTCAACAGCAAATCTATCGCTCTGATGCTGATTCCATGCATTTCTTTCTATTTCAGCACTATATTAAATTATCTCTTCCCATATTTGCACTTTCTCACATACTTTCAAACGTCTAATTGCAGGAACTCCGTCACACCATTTTGTGGCTTTTGCTTATGATAGGGACAATCTAATGACTGACTCTCCCTGTGCTCTACTTTCTTTCATGACAAAGATTACCTATGGCCAAGCAAACTGTAGTGTTCTCTAAATATGATGCTGCAACATGTAGTATATTATTTTGCTTATATTCCATTAGTTAGTATGTGCGAATCGTTCAACTCGACATCATACTAATGTCTACTATACATATTCAGAATATTTCTAATGTTAATATAATATATGCTATTATCTATGTTCTACAAATAGCTTGGCCCTTCATTCATTAATATTACAATACTTTTACAGGCATCATATTTTGACTATTGGGCCCGTGCTTGCCACGGGCCTCCCCTCCCTAGTTTATATAGATACGGAGATTTGCAAAGATCATATTTTTTCTATTCAATTTGTAAGTTCTCAGAGATCATATTCATATGTTTTTAGGGCTTTTCTCCAAATTTCTTTCGTTTTAATGTAGTAAAATTTTCAGATTCAAATTTCTTTTATGATTTTATTTGTTGCTAAAAATCTTTAAGTTTATAGAAAAAAAATAACAAATTCAATGTAGTCAGAAAAATAAAATTCGAAGAGAATAGAGTGTAAGTAGATCTTATATTTATCTAAAATATAAAAGAGAGATAAAATTTTAGAGACCTGCTTCTAGATTTAATCTCGTCACAATAACGTCTCTTGTAATTTACAATATTATGTCTATAGTTTTGTAATTTACGATATTATGCTTATTGTAATTAAAAATTTGGATGTGTGTTCTTTGATCTAGGCTTTGACAAATGTGTATCAAGACACATAAAAGGATCCATTTAGGATAGGCCTCAAAGAGATCCCATTCTCATTTATCCTTGGGCTTCCTCGGCCCAATTTGGAATTAGATACTATTTGGGCTCATGATAGCTCTTCAAGCCCATTTTGTTGTTGGGTGATTTTCGCCTTTTGGAGGTGACTGATCTTGAACTTTTGACCTTGTTTACTTTATTAGCAAAACATCAAGTTCAACAAATTTTAACTTTTGATTTCTCTAACCTTACTAAGATCATTTTTTCATTGTGAATTCCTAACTCATCAAGAGATATTATGTTATGAATAGGGATGACAATGAGGCGGAGCGGTTGCAAAGCGGGGGGGATTATAATGCTTGTGGGCCAGTGCGGGTTAGTGTTTTTGCAGGGGCGGGGCGGGTGCGGCTTAGGTTTTTTTTTCTTTTGAAACTAAACTAAATTGGGCAATTAAGCCAAAAACTACAGAGGGAAAAAACTTAATCTCAATTCTCATCTCATGCTATCTCCCGTAGTCAAAATCAAGCACATATACTGTTATGTTGAAGTTTTGCGGGGTGGGTATATGCGGCGCAGGGCGGGAAAAAAATAAAAAAATTATGCTATGTGGGGCAGAGCGGGTTTATGGGGCATTGCCATCCCTAGTAGAAATCACTAGTCGTGAGGTGCATATTTATTCCATTTAGCTAATGATAAGAGTATTTTTTATGTCAAAAGGCAAATAAATGGTATAATTGTCTTATTTCTAATAGTTCAAGAACATGTATACTTTACTTGGCTAACTATCAAGATATTTTTATGTTAATAAACATACCAATTACATAGTTAATCTGTTTCAATAATTTAAAAGAATATTTTTTGCCATCTTCCCAAATTTAAAAAAGTGATTGTAGATTAATTTGTTTATAAGTGGTCGATGGAAGTATATTCTCTAATTTAAGAATTTACAATGGTTTCTATAACCTATAAATCATGTTATATGGATCCTCCACAAAAAAAAACTTATATCGAATCCTTTAAAAATAGATTATTTTTTAAAGAAAATTTGCGCAATTAATATTTTTGAAGAATTAATAATTTAAAAGATTCGACTTACGAGTGAAATTGTATTTTTAAAATATTGATCAAGTAGCATAGTGGCCTATAGATAAGAGTTTGATTCATCAATATTATTGCTAGATATTTATGAAAACTATAATGATTTTACATCAACCATAATTTTCAACTTCTTGTTAAAGTTCGATAAGAACGGAAAATAAATATATAAAAAGTCAATATTTTAAAATAAAAATACTTGATATCGAGTTCAGCTAAATTCAACATTTTTTTTAATTAATTCACAAAATATTTAACATAGATTGTGGTTTTCAAAAGTATTAACATCGACTAGACATCCAATTATGAACACTAAAATGATTGTACTCCACCATAAACTTTATCCATTAGCCAGCATAAAAATCTTATGTCATAATTGATTAAATTGAAGTGATAAGTATTTTTTTTATTTTTATTAATTTTTTTGAATTTGAGCTCAGTTGGATATATAATTGCCTTTGTTAAGAAACAGTTTACTCTATCATATGAAGTTTTTCGACGCAATTGAAATTTAATCAGATTATAAAAAAAGTTCATGTGATGTAACCTTAAAAAGAGTAAAATAATAGTACGTTTATATGCAAACAATCATTTAATCCAAGCTAGTCAAACACAATATCCAGAATTGATAATATTTAAACTTCTACTTATCCAAACAATCATTTGATTCAAACTATCAAATACAGTAATTATCAATATGGGTTCGTTGTGGTGGGATAATTAAAATTCCTTTATTCGTGATTAGAGATTTCTAGTTTAAATTCTAAGAATGAAAAAAATACTATGTTGGGGGTAGCAACTCCCAAATGACCCTTTAACACACCATTTAAATTTATCGAGTTTTAATATAAATATCAGACACCGAATATTATTATTTTTAAAGTACTTAGGCAGTGGAAGATCACGATGGCTTTTAAATAAGCCGGAATTTAATTTAATCAAAGGGATTAGTTTAATTTCAGATGAGTCACAGAGTAATTATCATTTTCTAAAACCCTTTTTTGGCTCTAATAAAAAATGTGCAAAGTTTAAATCATTACTGTCACAAAGAGGAAATTAGTTATAATGATTGCTAGAAAAAAAATCATTAGATTGATAAAACTTAGAAGGAATTTAACTATCTAAAAGTATTAAACTTACGAAAAAATGATTTTCTAATAATCATATATAAAACAAATTTAGTAGAAGAACCTAAAGATTTAACAAAATTCGATCAACTCTATTCACTGAACTCAAAATAAAAGAGTTTCCATTATATAATAGAAGAATTCATTATTTTCTCCACAATTATATGCTAAACACGTTAAAATACATTGTGCAACTTTCGGAACGTATAGAGACATGTGTACCACAAAATGAGTCATAGCAACATGTATATAATAAGTAAAATATTGAATATCAAATTGACTTTAGACATAACTCAACGTCAAAAATTAGTTCAATAAGAGAATCGAACAACCTGAGTCATATTAAGAGTCAACTAAATTACTTCTTCCATCTATGATTTGGGAGTCTTCTTTTATCACCCCCGCATGCCCAATACACGATCTGATATTGAATATGTGTGTCACGCCCCGAGCCTACACCCTGGATGGTGGCCCGACACCCCGGAGACCCATTTGGTTCGGCCCCCAAGGCCGAACCCTTGGCCTGACTTACTTACTCAGCGGAAGACAATATTCATATCTATAATGATAAGTGAACTTAACTGAACTGAATAACAAAATAACTAAGAATGTTTTAAAGATTAAACATTCAACTTGGCCAAAAGTGGCAACCCAAGTCTTAACAATAAGAAAAGATAATGAAAAGACTCAAGGACTAATATCTGACTGTCTATGAAACCTCTAATAACAACTGAGATGGATGTTGGGACAAACCCCACAACATCCTAATAAACTAAACTAGAAAGCAATGAAATGGATCCTCCGGAAAGCAAGGAGGCTCACCAACAGACTCTGAACTGCTCACTGGATCAACGATGTGTCGGAATGCCGATCCTAGTTACATGTGTCTGCATCTTATTACGATGCAGGCCAACTGGCATCAGTACATTGAATGTACGAGTATGCGAGTTAGAA